TATTATTATTATTATTATTATTATTATTAAATTAATAGTAATAAAATTTAGCACTAGAATTTAAAATTATTACTAAATTAAATTATTTGTTGAATTATTTATTAAAGTGGTAAACTATTATTTAAATTAAATTATTCATTATTAGATCTATCATTATCAAAATTTTTTAGCTCGTTGTCAATCTCTGAATCCGAAGAAAATAACATTCAAGAAGTTCCAAACCACAGTTCGGCAATAGTAATGTTTCGTTTTTCCAAAAAAAACAATTTTCAACCAAAATTTGGACAGATTATCGTTTTTTAAAAACAAGCTAAAAAATTTTTGAAATATTCTGGAAAGTACCGCCTTCTGGAGAAAAGCTTTATGAAAAAAACTTAGCGGAAAAACTTGCTGGATAAGTCTATTTCCTGGAGCGCATGCAAGTTGAGAAAATCGCCGCTACTAATACTGTCGATTGGCAGGAAGCTGAGATCAATTTTCTTTAGTGTTGCAGCAACTGGTTGCAGAAAATTCCTTGGTAATATTGAAAAATGATTATGAGCTAAATTTAGCGATTCAAGTTTCAGGACGTTTTGCAGGGCGAGCGGCTCAAGCTGGTACAAATTGTTCCAAGCCATTGATAAACTTCGTAGGCTTGGTAAATCCAGGAATTTCCATTCTGGATTTTCAATCAAATTTCCATCGGCGTAAAATTCTTGCAGATTTTGAAGATCAATTAAATAAGGTAGATTTTGGAGCTTGTTCCAGCTTAGATCCAATTTCCGCAGAGAATACAAGTTTTGAAAAGCACACTGAGAAATAAACGCTATCTGGTTAGCCTCCAGATGGAGTTCTTCTAGATAAATCAACGGTGCAAATCCATTTTTCGGAAGGTAAGGGAGTGAATTATTTGCCAAATTCAACTGCTTCAAGCGATAAAGACCTTCAAAATTTGGCAAATTCCCCAGTTTATTGTACGAAATATCCAGTACCACGCATTCAGGATGCCAAAACATATAGCTATCCGGAATGAAACGAATGGAATTATGTGATAGATTGATTAGGTGCACATCAGACGGGATCGACTCCGGCTCAGGAAATAACTCCAGTGAAGAATTGAAGCAGTCCAAAATATTGACGTTATTCTCGGAATAGCACTGACATGATTTCACGCAGCGGGTAAAATTCCATGTGGCTGAGTCTGCCGCGCCAGCGAGTATGGATAATAGAGCGAGAAAGATTATTTCTGGTGCCATTGCACTTTGATGATAAAAGCACCTGAGAAATGATCGAGAGTTTTGAGGAATACGGCCAAGATACGCTCACAGCAACGAGGGTGTAAGTTGCAAAAGGAGGAATTCACAAAACAATGATTTTTTTTTCAGGAAAAGAAAGTGAAAAAAAGAGCTAAGCTGCAGTCGCCAAAAGGAAAAAAAACCAGTCCTGTGGCGAGTAGAAATTATTCGGGAGGCGAAGTTGACGAGGTCAAGCCTGACCCTTTCCTTGGGCGCCTCAGCACCTCTCGGCTCTTTTACTCCATTTTCGCTTTTTTTTCCGGCTGAAACCTCCGCTTCGTTGAATGGTCTTTTCCTTTCAATGACCCCTAACCCTTCCTCCGCCACTCCAGCCCGTCCTCGATCCAGCTGTTCCTGTTGTTATCTGTTTGCACCATCGTCCACCTCTGTTTGTACCTTCATCTCATCCGTCTGTCTTCCTCCCCCCCCCCCCCCCCCCCCCCCCCCCCCCCCCC